GACAATTAAATCAATCCTTATTGAATCAATTAAATGAACTTGAATACTATAAACATTCCTATCCAAAATCATTGTCCAATGAATTTGGAATTGACATTCTATATCCAATCATTCAAAATTATCCAATATCGATACATGATAAATTGAATACAATGTGCGAACATATTGCGATTCAAATAGCGAATGAAGTTGACACACATCAAGTAAAAAACTGTAAAATGTTGGTAACGGGTGGCGGCGCATTAAATACCTTTTTAATCACTTTAATAAATGAATAACTGGTCGCGTTTTTATAATTAACACCTACCATTAATAGATTATCTTCTCCAGCATAATTAATGTGCGAATAAGATAAACCACCATAAAAACTAAGGGAATATTTTAGCTTTTCTTCTTTTCGAATTTCAGCATTACTTCCTACACATTGATTGAATTGAGTGATAATATTTTTAAGTGCTTTTTCATTATACATGACCTTCTCACAAGCTTCATTGCTTTTTGCACATTCAAATAAGAACTACATTAAAGTATTGGATAATAACGTGGTATTTAGCAATAAGGGTTCTATTCAATCACATGAAGATGTCCTTTGTGTAGGAATTGGTACAAGCTATAAAAGAGTAACATCAATGATAAGATATGAAATTGGTTTTGGTCCCTCAGTGCCAGGCACTCGAGCAACGATACAAACAGCCTATTTCCTTTTAGGTATAAAGCTATTTTAAAAAAATGGCATACAATGTAACCCTAGCAGATCGTATCGCAGAAAAACTCTATGAGCTAGAAATTAATTTTCATGAAAAGAAAATGTTTGGAGGTATTGCTTTTATGATAAACGATAAAATGTGCATTGGTGTAGTTAAGGATGAAATGATGCTTAGAGTCATGGACAATCATTATGAAAAACTTATGGAAGAAAATCATGTAAATCCAATGCAGTTTACTGGCAAAACCATGAAAGGTTTTTTATTCATTGAATTGCCTGCATACAAAAATGATAAAGACTTATTGAAATGGCTTAACTATGGGATTGAATTTGGTGAAAAAGGAATTGTGAAGTCAAAAAAGAAAAAGTAACTAGGCCGTTTCACCTGCCTTCATCTTCTCTGCATTTTCTGCAAATTGAAGTGAATCAATCATATCTTGTATATCACCATTGACAAATGAATCCAAATTGTAAATTGTTTTATTGATACGATGATCCGTAATGCGACCTTGTGGCCAGTTGTAGGTTCTAATTTTGGCAGAGCGATCACCACTACTTACGAGTGTTTTTCTACTTTTGGCAATTGCATCCTCATGTTCACGTACTTTGGCTTCGTATAATCTTGTACGCATCATTTCTGTAGCACGTATACGATTACCGAGTTGAGAGCGATCAGTTTGGCAGGTTACCACGGTTCCAGTAGGGATGTGTGTAAGGATTACTTTTGTTTCTACTTTATTTACATTCTGACCTCCAGCACCACCACTACGAGCAGTTTCCATTTTCAGATCCGATTCTTTCAATTCAAAATCAACTTCCTCTGCCTCGGGCATCACAGCTACAGTCGCAGCAGAAGTATGTACTCGTCCACTTGCTTCGGTAGCTGGTACACGTTGTACACGATGTACACCACTTTCATACTTCAAAGTTCCATATACATCCTCACCTACTACTTCTAGTATTACCTCTTTATATCCACCTGCAGTGCCTTCACTTTCGTCTATCACACTCACTTTCCATCCTTTTGTTTCGCAATATTTCAAGTACATACGCATCAAATCGCCTGCAAAAATGCTGGCTTCGTCACCACCTGTACCAGCACGTATCTCCATCACAGCATTTTTTTCGTCCTGTGGTTCTTTTGGTATTAGGAGTTGACGTATGTGTTCCTCCAATGCTTCTTTGTTTATTTCTGCCGAGGTTAAATCCTCTTTAGCCATATCGCGTAACTCTTCATCGCTTTCAGTTTCCAATACTTCTTTAGCAAATGCAATAGAATCAATGCAATTTGTGTATTGTTTGTAGGCAGTAACTATTTTTTCAAGCTTACGATACTCTTTACTCAATTGCGAAAAACGTTTCTGGTCCGATACCACGTCGGGATTAGTCAATGAAACACCAATATTATCAAAACGGCCTTTGATGGCCTCCAATTTATCAATCATAGAGGTGCAAAGATAATTCGACAATTTGATAATTCATTTTTTTGAAAGAGGGATACCCAAAACAGCTTTATCAAATGGCTAAAAAATTACAAAAATGAACTTGAGTTTTTTAATAATGCGTACATTTACCATCACAAACTGGATTGAATGAAGAATTTTTATTTACTGTTAATTGTAATTATGTGCTCTGTGGTAACATTCGCCCAAACGAATCCTGCAAGTAATACCGAAATATTGGCCGATACCATCTTAAAAAAGACATTAGTTACAAGCGGCAGAATGCAACTCTTATTGATGATAGAACGGGAGCAAAAAAAGGCTGACGCATCTGATGGTGTGATTGATAAATTGATTGATATGGATGGAGATATAGATAAAACGACAATTATCTCAAATGCCATTTTCTCGAAAGTAAATAAAACGGTGGCCTATATCGAAAACAACGAGAAAGACGATATGGTGAAACGTAAATACTTGGGAAGAGTGATCGAAAATCTTAAGTTGTTTAATACCGATATGAACGATGGCTTTGTAGATGTAACTTATTATAGTACAATGTCGGAGAATACGCTACAGGTTGTCAGAGGATATCATAACAGTAATCTTGTTCCATACATTCGTGAAAATATCAGTAAGCCATTGTATGCAGTGTCTACTTTATTTAATACCGACAAAGATGCGATGAATGCATTAATGGAAGGAATGGCCGAAAAGTATCCTGAAGTGCTAATTAAAAAAATCCGAAACCTTCAAAATGAAGTAGCAGCGGATGTTATTGTAGCCAAAACAGCTCCCAAGAATCCTAAAATCATACTCAATTTTGCAACATCAACAGCAGTAGAACGAGATATTGTGCGCAGAAGTAAAGATGCATATGTACAAACAATCGTAAAAATAGCAGATAGTTGTATGACACCCCTTAAAGGAATTTTTTTCATTGATGAAATATACAAGGGGAAAATCTCGGTGAGCGAAGTCAATAAAATTACGTCGAATGACGAGGCATATTTCAAGAAAATGATTGAAATGCGTCAAGAGTATTTTACGACAGACTTACGTAAAATTTATGATAGAGAATTGACACATGAAGCATCGCGCTATGTATCTACCCTCAATGAATTGCATGATGCAGGTGAAGCCGTACGATTTAAAATTATAGAAAAGTTGAATCCAATTGAATTGTACTATATCATTGTATATGGTAATGATGATTTATATACGAGTAGTTTTTTAGGGTGTTACAACCGATTAATGACTCGTATGAAACCTAAGTCTGGAAGTCAGTTTTTGGATTCTATTGGGAAGGATAAATTCAGAACGTTTATAAGACTTTGTGCTAATTACAATACGCTTTCTGGTTTTTTGGAAACCATGAAACCAGAAGAGAAAAATAGTTTGATGAAA